CCCACCTCTTTACACAAGGAATTTGCAGAAGATGCCTTTCTTTGATACTACAAAACTGCACTCCAAAAATGCTTGACATTTTCAAATAAAATGTTGGCAATGAACTTGTCCTTTTAAATATTTTAGGTTAAATCAGTAAATTTAAATCATGCCCTTCCTTTTTTCATGAAATGAATTGGTGATCTGATCTAGTGCGAAATATTGGGGATTTGAAATCAAGGGAAAATAAAAAGAAATGGGTAGGGAAATGTCATGGCAAGAACAACTGATCAGATTGTATTCATTTAAAGATGTATATCAAAAGCCATTGCTATATACTTTCCTATAGGAAAACTGTTTCCTAAACCAATACAGCCTACAAAATGTTATAATTAACTCTTGTGGCATTATTTGACAAAGTTTAAGTGCTGACATATTATGAAGAGAGGCAACTATTTAATTCCATCAGAACTAATTAGGACATACCTATTATTCAATCCAACACCATTTATTATGCATCCACTAAATTAAGAATAAGAAGATTGCACAGATAGCAAAGGCTCAGGGCTTGCCCTCAGGAAGCTTAAGTTTAACAATCATTGTGCGCTAGAGCTGTTCTAAGAGGGTAAACAGTAAACCAGGTAAACTAATATCTGCCACAAAGAACTCTAACTTCAGCTTCTGAGTTCAGCTTCCTCAGTTTGTGATTTCCTTCTCACTGATTCCTCAACCTACTCAGTCAGCTGTCACACCATGGGTGATTTTGCCAAGGATGTTTAACGAGTCTATTAAAATAAGGACTCTTTCTCAATAAATCTCATGGAACACACATCAGCATTATCAAAGAAAACATCAATATGATAGGTCTATTTATATTATTACTGTACTCCAAATTCTTCATAATAAATAAACCTTACTTGTCTCAATCATCTGATACCCCATCGATTTCTTTTCAAAGAAAATTGATATTATTCGATGCTGATTTTAGGTCACTTTAAAATGCATGATTCAGTTTTTGTCTTCCAGCATTTTTGCACTTCCATTTGCTAAGAAATTCAAATAATTTTTTCTTTAAAAAAATGGCATCTATTAAATGCGGGGCAAATAGTTCTCAAGTATCTGATCTTCCAGTGGAGAAGGCAGAAAGAGGTCTTTCAACTGATGCTTACTTTTGTCCTATTATGCTCCCATGGTTCTAATAGTGGTAGAAATGGGGAAAAGACAATGAAGTAAGCTTCCACATCTTGATAGAAAATTAGTCCAGAAACTCCTCATATTTGCAGGGAGATTTTCTTAATTACTAAGTGTCTGGGGTTTGACTGTTTAAATCATAGTCACTGGCTCTTATGTACAGATTCTACTTTTCAAAGTTTCAGCTGTTAATCAATAAAGGGAGGAATGCAGGAACTGCATTCAGCATAAGAAATGAGCTTGACAAGACTAAGGTTATTACATGTAGAAGGACATGAATGGGAGAGATGTGCTTTTAGGTAGTATTAAGTTATCGTATTTTATTAAGTGTATGTAGGTGTATTTTGTACTTTATAATGTACTTTCTAAAAATGTAAGGGGAGGTTTATGTAACACACTGAGGCTAGTAATATGTATGTCCAATTGACCTTCAATTTGAAAGTCTTTCTTTCCAAATATAATAATTCATTTTCCAAAATGTCTCATGGAAAACAAAACAAGACAAAACCAAACCAAACCCTGAAGTCCCAGTATTTGTGTTGGATGGGTTTTTCTGTAAGACCAACTCTAAAAAGGAAACAAAGTTCTCAACAAAATCTCTATGCATGTCTATTTTCTGGTTATATTTTGTCCTTTCTTTTTTGCCCTTTCTAGGACTCTTTTCTTGTGCTAAACAAGACAGTCTCCATCTTTGCAGTGCCCCCTCAGGCATGGAAAGGGGATACAGCTTCAGCCAGGGTTAGCAATTGAACTGGATCTATTCTGTAACCAAGAGAGGTTTTAGTTACAGGTGGTAAGCTTTTGCACGCCTCCTTCTAAAGAAATTCATTTCTCTAAACTGTTCCCTACCCTTAATCCAGATTTTTCCTCTGTCTGTGATGGAGGAAAATAAGAAAAGATGCCCCATAAAGTAACACTGAAGCAAATTTTGTTATCTAAGTAGTCTACATTCCAAGTTGTGCTTTGGTCAGAAATATGTTTATTTTCCATCTAATGATCCATTTCCATTTCCTAAGAATCCGTTGAAGACAAGCTGGTAGATTTGTAGAATAGAACTATTTAAGACTTTTTTTTTTTTTACTTATTTTATCAGTGACTTGATTCTCACCACTGGTTCATTAACTCTATATTAACAAGCCAAAAGGTTGGCTTTGCTTCCCAGAAAAAGCAAAATATTGGTGACAAGGTAAAACACAGAGAAGATACGTTATCAAATGAGTCTTCTTGTCTAAAATAAGGCAAGTGCAAGAAAGGGGATAATAATACAAAGGATAAATAAATTAATTAGTATTACTTAAATGACAGAATACCACCATAGTTCTGATAAAGCTAAAAATGAGAAGATGTAGACTGCCTATAGCATCTGCCTAGTCATAACTACCGGCAGGCAGAACAGACTCCTTCTAGCCAAAATCAGTTGCTCACTAGTTCCCCCGGCACCCTTCCCCTCCTGCACATAGGAAGGAAAGACGTGCTAAGTATTTAATCTGTGTCCAGGAAATAAAGCTTTCATTTTACAACCTAACCAAGTCCTAATAAAACAGTAGGGTGGTGGAAGAAACACAAACCTGGACCCTGAAGCAATGTTTTTAGCCAAGAGTAAGACAAGGAAGGCATGAGCAATTTGAGCAGGAACTGACAATATCAACAAAGTGTGATGTGTCTGTGGAACAGTGTTTGATAAATATAAGGCAGCCATAAACATGAGAAGACAATCCAGTGGTGCTCTGCGCGCCCCCCCCCATAGTTTTTTGTTTTGTTTCTTTTCTTTTTCTTTAAATCCTCTTCTCTCCTTTGGTGTATTAATATGGCCTGATCTAGGATGCTCATAAGTACCCAGACATTGCTGGGCTGCTGCTCTTTCCCTGGTTGCTGTATAGGACGCTTATTTATTTATATATTTGGACCTGATGCTGGTGCTGCTGTTGGTTGCAGTGGTGCATTTTCTCTGGCATACCCACACCCCTTTCACCACCACCCCTAGTCTGCTGTGAAAAGCAGCACTTTCTTAATAATTGGTTTACATACTTAATAAAAGAGATCCATGCCCTTAATAAAAGAGAATGCAGCTGATGGAATCTCTCCGGGTAGAGAAAGAGTAAATCCTCCTCCAGGTTGAGAGAGAATGAGACAGCAGCAGACAGTTATTTTGCAGCGCACTGAATAGACAATTCACGGGAAATGTTGAAGGCAGAGAGGAGGCGACCCCCAAGTGCAGTCCATTGCCCAGATGCTCTATAATAAATAATCTTCTCACACCAGCCCAGCAGTGAGTGCAATGACGTGCCGGGGCCAGCACACACAGATTGGCAGGGAAAACACATCCAGCAGTGTCGAATTTTCATCGCAATCACCAAATTAACTGATTTTCCCACATCACACTCCCACTACCCGGCATGGAGTGCGCGCGCGCACACACACACACATACACACACGCGCGCGCCCGTGCGCGCGCGCGCGCACACACACACACACGCAGAGCTGAGAAATGCAAGTTACTGAGAGGTGAAATCGGGTATCTAGAAGCACGTTTCAGCATGGATTAGAAACCTAAGTAATGTGTCAGCCACCCGAGGTTACTTGTGAGAGGGTGGGGGAGTGAACTGTAGGAAATGGGACGAGGCAGCGTAAGCAGGAAGAAGGCTGTCTGCCTTCTCAGGGATTCTGGCACATGACATATCTGAAATTTACATCCAACATAAAACACACAAAATATTGTAAGAAATATCTCTGCAAGGTCAGTTAGTTAATTCAGAAAAATTCTGTCCACTATCTCTTCTTTCACATTCACAAATATGCATAAATAAAATACGTCCCAGTCTATATCCTGGAGGATAGGAGACAGGATGTATTCCAAGAACTTGCTGAAAGATGGTTCATTGACCTCATTTAAATCCTCCAAAGGCCGATTGGGTTTTGCACGCCTGTGGGTCTACTTGTGTCTTACTTCAAGATTCCTTTTACCCAGGGACAAATACATTTGATCAACTTATCTTTCTCACAAGTACAGAAATGATGACAGAGGGGTTAGAGATGGGCAAAGATTTATCAAGAAATCAAGAGTCACCTAGCTTTAAAAATCCTAACGACCATCATTTCACATTCATCCTTCCTGTATCTCACGCTCAAGCCGCATCCCTATATTACTACTCTCTTAAAAGCAACAATTTTCTGCCTTACAGCCCCTGCCCACCCAGCCCTAGCATGCCGCCCCTGCCTCCACCACCACCCAAAGTGTGCTCTCCTCATGCACTCCTTCTCTATACATTGCCATTCATTTCATAACCAGCGTCGTCCTCCCATTCCACACAGACCCCTCCTCCCTCCTCCAAAAGAGAGGGTCTGAGGAAAAGTGCACCCCAGTTCCCTAGCCACTCCGCATCCAAACCCAGTGATTTGCATAATAACAGCGTTTTGTGCGGTTTCCCTCCACTGCGGTCGCAGGGGTTCTTACATTTCACGTGAAAGGATAATATTAATTACGAAAAGAAGCGGCAGAGAGCAGAGCGGATGGAGAGGTAGGGAATCCAAGCGAAAATCCCTTAGCAGTAAAGTAACTGCTTAGGTGCATATATTTCTTTGCTTAACGAAAAAGAAAAAAAAGAAAGAAAGAAAGACAAGCAAAAGAACAGAAAACCACACAGACTGATTAATAAAAAACAGGTTTGTTGATAAAGTGTTTTTGGGTCTTTAAATTTTTCCCTTCCCCTTTCCTTTTTTTTATTTCTTGATTTATTCTTTTTCTCTTTCCCCCCTTTTTTCTTTCTCCCTCTCTCTCTTTTCTTTCCTTCTTTCTTTTCTTTCTTTCTTTCTTTCTTTTTTTTTTTTTCTTTTTAAATCCCAGACACAGTCTCCTCTCTCTTCTTAGGTGAATGACACGTCTCACAACACATTTCCCCCCCCCCCGGGGATGTTATTGCAATGCACACGGTGCCGCTGCTGCTGTTCTCGCCGTCTCGGTAGCTCGCTCCCAGGCTCTCACTCACTTTTTAAAGATACACGGATATGATGATGGTGGGAAAAGGGGAAAGAGAAAGGCGACCCGAAAAGGGGGAGGTTAGACAGATGACAAGGATGGAGAGGGTCGGTCAGGAGCGTGATGTGGGAGGTGGCTGGTGGGGGTTGGTGGGAGGGTATAATGTTCAGAGAAGGCACAAGTTGCCAGCCAAAAGGCGTGGGAGGTGGGGGGGGGTGGCTGGCGGGGACTGAGAGTGAGAGATGTAGGAGGCTCAGGTGAATGAAAAGGCGAAAGGTGCCGCGTAAAGGGGCTGACTGCTGGGAGAGCAAGGCTGAGCCAGTGCTAGAGATTCGAGGGTCTGGAGCAAACTGCCACTGCCCCCTGCCGCACCGGGGAGTAGGGGGAGGGGGTGGAAATCGCCGGGGACTGGGGAACTGAAAGGGGAGAGTGGAAATATGGGGTGGAGTGGGGATGATGGGGAATGGGCGTGAAGTTGATGCTCCCCGCGGCGGGGCGGGGATTACCTTGTAGCAGGAGCCCGCAGACACTGTAGAAACGGAGAACGGCGCTGCGTTTCCAAATCATGGTCCCTTCTCTAATGGGTTAGGGAAGGAACGAGGGGGCAAGGAGATGCTGGTGAGTGGGACACCAGAGTGCAGGGCTCCGCCGGTGTCCTCCCGGAGCCTGTTGGACCCACCGTCCCCGCCGCTGCGGTGTTCGAACCCTCGGACCTGGATTGGAGGCAGCAGAAGCGGTAGCTGCGAAGCACCCGCAGAATGGGGTTTCGGTGAGCGAAATAGTTTCTTCTCCTCCTCCTGCCTGTGGTGCAGCCGCGATAGCCCGTCAGCCAGGCACGGGTTCGGAGCTTGCCTTCCTCTCGGCGCGCACAGCAAGTCCCAGAGCCCGCCGGGGCTGCCCGAGCAGGTGGTGCAGGGATGCCGGGGTGTTGGAAAAGGTGCGGGCTAGGGCTGCAAGGAGTGGGTAGGTCACGGAAGGGAGGGGCGGGGGCAGAGGGGGAGCAAGCAAGCAGCAGCCGCCGCTCGTGCTCAGGGTGTCTCGGGGTCCTGGGAGGGGAGGTGGCAGCGGTAGAAGCAGCGGTTGTGGCGGCAGCGGCGACGGCGGCGGCTCCCGGATGCTTGGGCTGCAGCAGCAGCAGAGGCACCGGCGGCGGCGGCAGCGGCGGCGGCGGTGGCGGCAGCTCTACAGAGCTCCAGACACAAGGGCAAGCTCAGCGCGGCGGAGGCCCCGCCCCCACCCTGGCCAGGGACAGACACCGCCCCCTGGCCAATGGAAACACAGCCGCCTACCAGGCCTGGCCAATGAAAGAAAGGGATGGGTGGAGACAAACGCCGGGAAAAACAAACAGGTTTCTCAAGGACCCTTCGGGCAGAAAGAACTGAAGCCCCCATTCACACAGCCCTCAGCGGGTCTTACCTCCTTAGAGACGTCTCGCCCTAACTTAACAGAGGAGACGCCCGCCTTCATTAATCCGTGTCTTGCACTCAGGAATGGTTCAGCCAATCGTCACCGCGAGGGGGCGGGGTTAGCCTTGTCCCCAGCAGATTCTGGAATGTGTGGTGCCTGGGCCAGGTCCTGGGTGCGAAGTTCTTGTGCGCATTTGGACTCCTAGAGCAGATGGTGGCTGCACCTGCCTACTCACCAGCTGCAGTAGCATTCTCTAACGCTCCCAGCAGCAAAAGAGAAAGATTGCAGAGGGCGTGGGAGAGGCTAAGTATAGGGAGCGGCACACCTACCTGCCTACAAGAACTTGTGTGGCAGAGAAGGAAAAGTTAAGGGTGGAGGAGATGAAATTGTTGTTGTTGTTTTTCAGAATTTTGACTTAGTCTGGTATAAATCTCAGTAGAGCCTAGTGGATGACAATATTGGTCAGTACTGCGATCAGGCGTACCCCAGTTCAAATCCCATAGCCATCACTTCTTGCTGCATAATGTTTACTGATTTTAATGAATGTTTAAGTTTGAAGCCTCCTCAACTGCAAAACATGGATAGTAATAGTACTTACCTTTTAGAGTTTTAAGGATTAGTGAGAATGTAAACATGTCAGTACAGGGCCATGCAATGTGTAAGTGCTTTATAAATAGTGGCTCTAGCTGTTTAGTGGGATTTTTCTAATTCAGGATAGCAGGAAATCTTAGGCAATCCTCTATAAATGCTTTAATAATAGTCTTAAGGGAGGGGAAAAAAACACTTCAGGGACTTAACCAAAAGTGGCCATGCAAAGGAACTTAGGAATCTGGAAAGAACCACCTCTATAAATCAGCACCCTGAAAAGTATCTTTTAGAAGAGAAGATATAAATGAGCGGGACATAAATAAATCAGAAATTGTGTTTCCAAATGAGCTTAATTCCCAGGCTTTTCCCTATGACCAGTTTTTAATTGGACCAAATTAGCAGATGATGGACTAGTTCAGTAGTGTTAAATCAGTCACACCATAAATAAAGTCTGCTTTGTTTGAGAGACTGCATAATAGAAACCTGCAAGCAAGAAGACAGAGGGAAAGATGAGAGGCATGATCAATATTGATGCCCTTCGCTCTTTCCCATTTGTTGCTTACTTTGCCACAACCTTTTACAGATTCAACCCTTGCCTTTTAACTACTGACCCATTCATTTCTCTGTCCACCTTTCTCTCCAGGTTCTCAAAATTAAGAAGCAAAATGTCCATAATAAAACTGCAAGTGGACTCTAGAAGAAAGAGGTTGTGTGAATACTCTTATTATTGTAAGAGATCGTTGCCTACTGTGAGTTTTAGCTGTTAGGAAAGTCAGTAAGTCCAAGGATACTGTTATCATTTAAACTATTGTGAGACTCAAAAGGTGAAATTCTAATCATTATTGACTCATGCTTAGGTTTTGTGTCAAGGAGAATATAAAAAATGGAAATGCCAAAAAAGTTAGGGTTTCTTTATGGAAATGGTAGTCAGAGTTCCTATGTTCTAGTGCATGTCTGCTGCCAGCTGTAGCACCTTGGGCATATATTCAACTTCCTTAACCCTCAATTTCCTCAACCATAACATGAGGGAGCTGCATTTGATGACTTCTAAAGTCTTACTGAGATAAACTAACAAACAAAAATTCAATACTCCAAGATTGTTGTATTCAAGAAAATGCCCCAACCAAACATGAGTATCTCAGCATTTGTTATTAATACTCAGAAGCAAATTTTTGTTCTTGTTGATAACTATCTCAGAAATTAGGATTTCTACACTGAAATAGTCTGTAAGTTTGCTGTATAGTAGGTGATCCTCAGACCAGCATCACCACCAACACCTGGGAACTTGCTAGAACTGCAGAATCTCAGGCCCTACCCCATACCTACAGAATAAGATTCTTCATTGTAACAAGATTCCAGGGTGATTTATAGATACAAAAAGTATGAGAAGCACCTGTTTTTAACACAGTTTTACCACAGACTCAACGCCAGGGAGAATTCCAGTGGGTGTTTTATGAAAGAGAAAACTCTAAAAGACCCAGAGGATTTTTGTTAAATTACTCTTTTCAGGAATCCCAGCAGTCTCCTTGTCATCACAACACAGAAGTAACTCTTCTCATAAACTATGGGGTAAAAAATGATTAATTTAATGAGGTAGTTTTAAGATGGTTGCAAGTTTGATTGTGATGAGAGTCATATACTTTCATGTGATTATGAGTTCTCTTTAGCCCATACACCCAGTCAGGGGACTGGAAGAGAGTTTGCACTTATTCCAGTTGTGGGGTCCGTGTGTGTGTGTGGAGGGGGTACTTACAATCTGAGCTCTGACCGTTTGGATAACTAATTTCATCTTAAAGTACAAGGGATATATAACACTCTATCTTCTAAATAGTCTATTCTTAGATGCTATTAATCAATTAACTTAAAAATATCAAATGCTTAATGGTTGTAAGATCTTTCAATATTTTAAAATGTGACAATGGTCAAAATGTTACAGTGTTGTCATTTCATGAATAAAGTCATTTCTAAAACCTAAAAGATTTCTTAGAATACAATTAAATATCTTTAAATACATTCATTTCATAGTTTTAAGGCTATTATTATCTACATATATGATCAGTGTCCCAGTAAATGTGCAAATTAACTGACCTTTTATGAATCATCAGACAATGAATTAATTTCATAAATTGCCAAAAGATGGCATCTATCCATGCATCCCTATATGCAATAGTCTAAAATATTAAACCTATTTGGGAGATTTTCTTTATTTTCTTTCTCATTATGCATTGTATTATCCTTCACTTTGCGGAGAAATATTTTTAATATTTAATTTCATATTTTGAAATTAATTTAATTTTTTTCTTTTTCAAGTTTTTATTAAATTCCAGTTAGTTAACATACATCATAATATTAGTTTCAGGTGTAGAATTTAGTGACTCATCACTTACACACAACACCCAATGCTCATCACAAGTGCCCTCCTTAATCCCCATCACCCACTTAACCCACCACCCCCACCTCCCCTCCTGAAATGAATTTTAAAATGGAGATAAATTAATGCTTTAAATGCAAGTTATTTATTTAATACTCATTTTTAAAGTTATGTAAAGATAGTGTGTACTTTTTCTTTGCCTTGGACATGATGTCCTCTTTGCTTGTACTGTCACAGTATAGGATAACAGCCTCTACTTCCACATTAGTACCATAGATATTAGAGTTCTTTTAAGATGTATTTCACAAAGGAGGCTGCACTTAGTTTGTGCTTTATGACTGTTCCTACACCAGACTGAAAGAATTGGGATTTATAATGATGCGATGTTTATGCCTTTTCTATTCTACTAGGAGCAAAGTAATTTGCTGACAGTTTTAAGGTGATGGATTTGATAATTAACTAGATGAGGGAAATCCTTTCACAATGTATATCAAATTATCACAATGTGCACTTTAAATATCTTACAATTTTATTTGTCAACCATACCTAAATAAAGCTGAAAAGATAACAAATTAAAAAAAAACAGTATTAATTGTGGCAAAATTTTTTGAAATCAGAATGGGAAAATTGCTGTGTTACTTTTTACTACTATGAACACATTTTCTGGGATTTCAAACACTTAGTTAGGATATCTATATTTCTCTTAAAATACTAAATTTTAGTGGAATATCTAAACACTTTAAATATATAGTCATTATTGATCCCCAGGACTAAAAAATCTAAAAATCCATGCTAAATTGACTCTCATAGCAAATTGACTCTTGCAGTAAATTGACCTAGAAAAAGAAATTTCATGGCCTGGTGAAAATGTAGACCATTGTGGAAGAAAATTAGCTTATTGAGTACTGGAAGCATTGATTGTCATTCTCCATGCTCCCCAGCATTTTAAATATGAGGTCAGCTGCCTGTGTTGCAGAGATGTTAAGAATCTTTCTGTATAGTATATAGAACATATAGTATAATATACAGTATATAATAGTATCTATATATAAATATACATAATAGTATATAAGTGATATCAACTGCCTTTATGCATTTTAACTTAGCATTTTGCTGTTTACAAAACATTCAATGTCTCTCTTCAGAATTATGACCTATTATTCATCCCATCCCACTCCAAATGCTTTATTGCTAGAATTTCAACTTATATTAGTAATAGTATATAAAATTACTGAAAATAAATTCACAGATATTCAAGAATTTACAATCTCAAGATGAGCTGTCCCTGTATTTTAACATGAATAAACTAAATGGTAATATGACCAACATTTATACATTTTAAAATAATGCAATCACAATATATAGAGTAAAAATGACCGGGTGATGTTATATAGTATAACTTTTATCTCTACAATGATTGAATCTAAATGATCTAAGATATGTGGCCATCACACACTTTCTTAAACTCATCAGGAGGGATAATTCCATTCCCTCCATTTACCCTAAAACAAGAAAATGTTCACTCTATCTTATAGAAGGTCATATGATCTTAGAGTTTAGTAGCGCTTAATGTGTAAACTAGTTTTACAAATGACCAAGGGTAAATGGAAATATCATGGAGATAACTCTTAACTCTTGGACAGCGATATTGAAGATGGGCTATATTTAAAAACAAACAAACAAACAAAAGCCTTCTCAAGAAAATGACTACATTCATTCAGGCCAATTTCATACCCACCACATGCTTTTTGTACGTAGAGCTTTTTCTACATAGAACACTCTTACTGAAGATCATCACATAAGTCATTTCTTTATTTTATGAACAAGTCTGCTCAAATGTGACATTCTCACAGAGTCATTTACTGATTATGCTTTACCCTTCCAACCCTTCCATCCCCAACCCATCTAGTCTCTCTTTACATGTTTATCTCATTTTATTTTTCTTCGTGCCCTTTATAACCTGAACTTATATTATTTAATTTGTTTGTTTATTTGTGTATTGGTTTTCTCCCCAACTAGAATGTAAGCTGTAAGAACAAAGGGACTTTGGCTTGTTGACTGGATTTTCAGCAATTAGAAAGGGGCTAAAACAAAATAATCACTCAATATATATTTGCTGAAGGAATGTGTGTATCCATCCAAAGGTGACTACCTTCTGGTTTAATTTATATAAAAACAGATTCATTCCCCTCTTTGTGTCTTTTTCTAAGGCATCATTTTTTTTTCCTTAATAAATAAATCTAAGCATCCTTAAGTAGAACCACTCAAAATAAAAATTCAGCACTTATAAAAAACATTCCACTTAGATTTTTATTTACAAAAGAAATACATATGAGTCTGTTTTTGGTTTTTTGTTTGTTTGCTCCTAAATACAGAGAACAAACTGGTGGTTGCCAGAGGGGATAGGGGTGGGGATGAGCGAAACAATAAGTGAAGGGGATTAAGAGGTACAAACTTCCAGTTATAAAATAAATAAGTCTCCGGAATTAAAAATACAGCATAGGGAGTATATTCAATAATATTGTAATAACTTTGTAGATAACAGATGATGACTACACTTTTTGTGATAAGCACGGTGTAATGTATATAATTGTTGAATCAATATGTTGTACACCTGAAACTAGTATAGCATTGTATATCAACGATACTTCAGTTAAAGAAAAAAAAGAAAGAAAG